ACGGTCCACGAGGCCGTTCACGACGTGCGTCACGCCGCTGTTATCGTACGCGACCGAGGCCACGACAAGCTCGAATATCTGCGACGCCTCGGTGTACTCGCGCCTCGCCTCCCGCGCCACATACTCGGCCAGCTCGTCCGAGCAGCCAGTTCCGACAACCTCCGCGATGACTGTTCTCGAGAGGGGCAGCGGCAAAATCTCGCACTGGCCTGCCGTTATCGGGGCCCAGCAACCGCTCTCCGAATCTGTGCGGCAGCTTGCGCGGCTTGCGGTGAGAAGCGCCCGCAGACGAGAAGAGTTCCGCCGCCGCACGTGGCTCTGCATCACGATCGTGGCGGCTACGGTCGCGGCCGCCGTGTGCTCTTCCTCGCAATATCCGAGGCTGCTGTCTTGTGACGGCGAGATGCGGACCGTCCCGGCCTGTTCGTCCTTGTCCCGCTGATCGTCCTTGTCCCGTACGCGGCTTGACGAGCAACCCATGCTGGAGAAGTGGAAGGCAAATTCGGCGCCGACGTTGGACGCTGTTCCTGGTACTGTGCCGTACGAAAGTGTGTACAAGTGTGAACAGCAGCTCCTGACCGGAGGAATGTATTCTTCACAACAAAATCTGTCGAGGTTCTCGAGGGGGATATCCTTTGGCCGCGTTGGGTAGCGAGGATTGGTGTGACGCGTTCCACGCAGGCGTGTTTTCTGACGGCCGACCGTCAGTGCACGGAGAGTTGCCCCTTCTCCGACTGCCCCGGCTAGTTCCCGAGGTCGTCGGGTGTGACCCCTGCGTCCCCCGAGACCTAGCGCGGGTGGGTTGGAGGGGGCTCGCTGCGAGGAAGGGCGGTGTAAGAAGCCGATCCCCGTACTGAGTAGTCCGCCCCACTCCTTCCCATCGGGCCGCAGACGCGGCCACGCCTCGCAGATTCGTTTCTCGCGCCTGGGTCAGGCGCGCGGGGCATCCCGGCGCCAGCCTAACGCAAAGCCGCAGCAGCACGCGTCGTTGTAGACAAAAACACCAAAAAAGCGAACGCCGATGACGCAGTGCCCACTTGCCGGAGGAGGTGGTGGCTATGACTTTGGACCTTTGCGAGAGCTGGCGAGCGGAGCAAGAGCGGTGTAGGCGCGTCCACGCGGCGCAGCGGCTCTCCCGCGACCACAGCCCCTCCCGCAGCCGCAGCCGTAGCCGCAGCCCCAACTCGCGCCGCTCTTGTAGTGTCGGGTAGTGACCAGGGGTGAGGGGACGGAGATTGAAGATCCCTCCCACCAAGATCGTGCAGGGCGGGAACACATGCACATGCACATGCACATGCACATGTCATGTTGTTGCACATGTTGTGCATGTGCATGTGCATGTGCATGTTCCTAAATCCCATCTCGTCTCAGAGGTTGACCGTTTTTTATTAATTTATTTATTTGTATCAACCTAGTTTCTTTTATTTTTTGCCCCGGTTGTGCTGTCGCAGTGTCCCGATCTGCTTATCTCCACATGCGCACCACATGGGCGGCGAGACCACGCTTCGCACTTGCGTCATTTGCTTCTCCAACGCCTCGTGCCCTCAATCTGCCGCGGGCGCGGCACCGGCGCACCAGAATGTGGATTTGGTATAAGGTGAGGTGCACCCGGGGCGCTTGACTTCGCCGAGTCGGCAAAACATAAAAAGAAAATGCGCAAAAAGAAGGGGGGAAAGCTAAGGCCAGCGAGGGCGTGTCATGAGCGACCACGAACACAGACTCCACAACTGTGTTTTCTCCCAGGTGTGTGGGTCGAGAACAGGCCTTTCATTTGAGAAGCAATAAACAAAAACAAAGGTAATGAAAAGGAGAGAGACACACACTTGACACACAGAAGAGCGAGACACAGGACAAGCAATGAACACACAAAAAGGTACTAAACAGGAGACGGAGACAGTCACACACATTTGACACAACACAGGAGAGCGGCACACAGGAGAAGCAATGAACAAACAAAAAGTTGCTGAACAGGAGAGAGATGGCACAGACACACCGTCACAGCTCAGGCTTCAGCTTTTCACCTTACGGGGGCGTCGACTCGAAGACCTCGCATCCAGGCACGTTCCAAGGTGCCGGTGGTGGCCCCGTCTCCTTCCAAGGCGCCTTCCAAGGCATTGGGCCGTCTGGCGACACAGGTGGTTGCTTGCAGATCTCAGGCTTGGCCACAATGTGGCTTTCGGGGGTCGGTGCAACATCGTAAATGCGAGGGCATGTCGCCGCCCGCGTCTTCGACCCTGACGGGTATAGATGGCATGCGAGAAACCGGCCGGTCCACTCGGCAAACTGGTGGAGCTCGTGCGGCTCATTATGGCCTCCCTTTTCCCATGGTGTCTGTGACGATGCTGCACTGCGGTTCGTCAAAAAGTCGGTCGAGTTGACGAAAGCCTTGGAGGCCGAAGGCTCGGCGATCGACGATGTTGCTGGAACCTGCGTGTGGTTGGTGGCACAAGCTCTCCTCGCACAGGTACAGCAGCATGTGGGTCGCCCGCTCTGGCATCTCCGCGGCATTGTCGACAGCGACGCCAGGGAAGGACGCGGCAAGCTCGTTCGCCATGCGCCGCGCGCCTTGGTTGGCGGGCGAGGCCCAAAGGACCACCTGAGGACGCTTTAAGACGTGTGTCTGAGGAATGGACTCGGAGTTTCCTTTTCAGTGGAAGCCCTTTTGCCTGCTTCGCGAACACGAGATTCTGACCCTGCACCTCGCCAGGGATGGTGAGCGGGAGCGACCGTAGGCCAGCGTAGGTCGGAGTTTGCACTAGCAGCGCCTGCGCGAAGAGAGGGGTTTGATGCTTCCCCGCAGGTGTGGGCGCAATGACGGCTTCGCGCGCCTCGGAGATCATCTTGAGGGAGACGAGTTGGAACTCCTCGATACGCATCCACACGACGAGTGGGAAAAGTTGGTCGAAGACGGCCGGCTGGAGTTCCGCAGGGCACTCGGCTCGCAGCTCCTGCAGGCGGCGGGGCTGCCTGGATGAGCGCGCTTGCGGCGGGGCGGGAGTGGACCCTCGCCGATAAGATGACGCCTCAATCGAGCCGCCGCCCTTGGCTGGGTCGGCCTCTTGCACGAGGATGATTGGCTTGCCCTTCTCGAGCGACGAGCGGATCTCGCGCAGGCAGTTCTTGCTCCGAAAGTATCCCTTGGACAGGAAAAAGAGGATGACCTGCGAGCGGCCAATGTAGCTCTCCAGCGCGCCGATATCCTCAAGGTCGTCCACGTCAAGGAAAACTTTGATGCCGGGCAGAAGCTGCTGCAGCTCGTTCTTGATCACCGCGACAGCGTCTTGACCAGTTGACCATATGTGGCTGTTGAAGAGGTGCCACGTCATGCCTTTCCCGAGCATCAGCTCGGGGGCCTGCTTGGTCGTCACGAGCCGAATCGTGGGGACCTTGGCGACGCGGCGGGCGGCGACGACAGCGCCGACAAGGAAGATGACGAGAGCAGCGCCGATGAGCACCGTCATCGGGATGACGATGGTCGCGTCGTCTGGCCTCTACGGACTGCGCACTACGGGGCTCTATGGGTAATTCCTCCTTTATGTCCCCTTGCCTTCGGTTTGCGCCCCCCCCCCCCCCCCACCGCGCGCGAATGAATATACACACATGTGTGCGAATACACACCGACGTGCGAAACTACACACATACAAGAGGTCTCGTCCTGGAAACCGTATCTGTTGCGCACACGGCTGCTCGGTTCGGCTCCCCCCCTCGGCTCAACGTGTACGTGTGTGTGTGCCCCCTCGCGCGCACACATGACATAGCTGGTAGTCAGCTACAAGCTCGAATGCGCTGCATCGACTCGCGCATGCTCTGCAGCCGCTCCAGCTGCGAGGCGGTGAGGTGAGGCCCCGGCGCATCGCTGCCGCCAAGCAGGTCCAACTGGCCAGCGCGCCGCTGCCCTGCCCCTCCCGCTTTGGCGCCTGCACCCCCCCCGCAGTCGTCGCACCGCTGCCCGCCTGGACCTGCCCAAGTCGCGAGTGGACAGCCTCAAACGGCACTCGGCGAGAGGCATCGCCGCACCGGCCGCCGCTGCTCGGCCCGCCTCCCGCCCCGCCGGCTTCCCCGCCGTCCGCCCCGCCGTTGGTCCCGCCGCTGGCGCCGCTGCGACTCGCGGCTGCCCCCGCGCCAGCGCACGCGCCCGGACGGCCCGCCGTTGATGAGACCGCTGCGGCCAGCTGCTTTGCGGCATGCTCCGCCTCTCCTCGCGCGGCTCGAGTGGAAGCCCTCGCTGGTGGCAGCGGCCCCTCCCCCCCGCCCTGCTCCGCCACGAGCGCGGCGAGACCTGCCTTCACGCGTCGGAGAAACGTCCGGCTGTCCGCCTCGCTGCGGAACGCAAGCCGCAGCCGGGTCGCCCCCATGTGACAGCAGATGGCGGAGCTCAAGAGCAGAGACGCCTGCAGGTCGAGAGGGTGTGGGCAAAAGACGTTTGCGGAGCGGACGAACGCACGAACTGCGTGATCACACGCTCAATAGCTATGGTTGGTGCAGATGCCGCGCTCCTAGCGAACACCTCGAATCGGCGCCCGCCGCCGCAGCCACCCGCAGCGTCGCCGCTGCGCTGCTCCCGTCAACAGGAGCCACCCATTCAGCGGCTCGTTCCACTGTGGCTCGCTCGAAGGCTGGCCGCGCGCTGCCAAGTGGCTCCCTCAACAAGTACAAGTAGAAGGGCGACCTTCTCCAAGTCGTCAACGCGCCCGGCGGCTCCGGCAAGACTTTAGCCTTGGCCACCCTCCTTGCGGAGCAGGAGGAGATCCGCTCTCGGTCGACAACGTGGCAGCTAGTCGAGGGACTCGGTAGTTGTGACCCCCCTGAGTGAGGACAGGAGAGAGAGAGCTTTTGTGGTGTTGGTGTACGCAATAACGGGAACAGGGTAGTCGTTCTCTCCATCTCCCCTTCTAGCTCTTAGCATGAGCTGCGCCCTGTGTCCGACCCCTTTTGCGCAGCAACACCTTAAACTTTTAGGCCCTCCAAATTCGGGTCGGAGCGTAGCGGAGTGGGCCCCGAGTTTGAAAAGGGCGACGGACGCTTGCGTCCTAGCCTCCAACAACGCCTCCCCGGCGCAGAGGGGCCCCCGGAGGGATGCACAACCGCTCCACGCCACGCCGCTTGCGGCGGTCCTCTTCCCAGCTCCGCTGAGGGCCGTGCGTTGTTTCTTTTCAGTGAATGCGTTATTTCTTTTCAGCGTTGTAAAATAGTTAGAGGCTGCGCAGGCCGTCCCGTTTGCTGTTTGCATAAAAAACGCCTGTCTGTTGCGCTCAGCGCTGCGCGCGCGCGCGCCGGGGCTGTCTCACTCACGTGCCGCAATATGTGTCACACACGGCGGCTTCTGCCACCTCTCGATTGGCTCCACTTTCTACGCACACCTACCGGGGAAGGGGTGAGTTGACTTTGCCGCAGAGGCCGTCCCTAGCTGTGAACAGCAAACCGGGATCGAATTCTTTCAGTCTCGGAACACCAGTCAACGCTGCTCGCCCGGCCAAGGCTCGGGTTGACTCGGCAGACTAAGCCCGAGAGGCGTGGGAGTGCCTCGCCAGGAAAGGAGAAATCGAAAAACACACGAGATCGACGCCTGCGATGTGCTTCCTCATCGCATTCAGCTCTGCGGTGCGCGGGCCGAGCGATGCTGGGCGGCGCATCGCCGCGGCCGGCCGTCTCCGGAGCGCATCCGCCGCCGCCGCGAGCCACGTCGCCGACGCGCGATTCGCCGCTCTGCTGGCCCTCGACTCGGCGGGGATGGTGGCGCGAATCGAGACGGTGCCGGGTTTCTTTGAGCCGGCCCTCTTGCCCGTGCTCGCGGCGCTCGATGCCCGCCAGCGCGATCTGGACGTCCGCGGCGCCGTCGGTGAGATCGGCGTCTACCACGGCCGAAGCTTCGTCCCACTGGCGCTGCTGCGGCGAGAGGGAGAGGCAGCGGTGGCTGTCGACTGCTTTGAGGAGCAGCAGCACAACCGCGACGAGTCGGGCTGCGGCAACGAGGCGGCCTTTAACGCGACGCTAGAGCGGTTTTGCTGCGCGCATGACGTCGTGTCTGTCGCGTGCGACTCGACGCAGCTCGCGCCCGCCGACCTCCTCGCCGCTGCACGAGGGCCGATCCGGCTGCTGAGCGTCGACGGCTCGCACACAGAGGAGGCGGTGCTGGCTGACCTGTCGCTCGCTGCGGCGGCGCTGGCGGGCGGCGGCGTCGTGATCCTCGACGACGCGGTCAACGCAGACTGGCCCGGCGTGGTGTCGGGGCTGGCGAGGCATGTCTTTGAGGCGGGGGAGGGCGAGGACCAGCGGCTGCTGCCGTTCGCTCTCGGCTACAACAAGGCGTTCCTCTGCACTGCGCGGTGGCAGGCTGTGTACGGCGAGGCCCTGGCGCCGCTCGGGCGCAAGCGGGCGCGGTTTCTAGGCCACGACTGCGCCGTGCTGCCCCTGGGCTGGATCGCCGCCCACTTTGCGAATGATTAAGTCACATGCCGGCACCTGCACCTGAACCAGAGAGCTGCGCGAGCCCGCTTGCAGAGGAGGAGCCGCCGCCAGCGGCCCCGGCCCCAGCATCTCGCGGCTCGCTGCAGGCCTCGCTCTCAAGGGGCGGCGAAGCGCTCGCCTAGCAACACGGCGCCGGTCGCTCTGAAGTCTCCGCCGCCGGCCGAGGGCTGGAGAGAGCGGAGAGGGTGGCGGCGGCGCGGTGGCGGCGTGGCGGCGGCGGTGGCAGCTAAGACAACGGCACGGTGACGACGGCGAGGGCAGTGGCCTCGGTGGCGAAGGCGGCGGTGGCAGTGGCAGCGACTGCGGCGGCGGCGGCGGCGCTAGAGTGGCTGAGGCCCCCCAGCGAGGCGGCGCAGCGCATGCGGATTCGGTCTGCTCGCGGTTCGTGCCCGGTTCGTGCCCGCTTGCGGGTCAGCTCGCGGCGCGCTGCCCCCGCACCGGAGCGAGCGGGCGCTTGACGAGTGGCGCGCCGATCGGCCGCCACCCACTCCGCTCTCCCGCTCCCGGCGACGCTCTCAGTCTCGCTCGCGGGTGGGCGAGGAAAGGAGGGAGGATGTGCTGCCGTGCCCACACGCTGCGCAGCGGCTCTCCCGCGACCCCGGCCCCTCTCGTCGTAGCCGCAGTAGCCGCGGCCCCAACTCTTGCCGCTCTTCTGTGTGGAGTTGTGACGAGGGGTGAGGGACGGATTGGGAGCCCTGTCACACCAAGATCGTGCAGGGCGGGGACACAGTGCACATGTGTCGGCGGATACACGCCGGCCAGGAGCGAGAGCGCCAGAGAGAAGACAAAAGGCATGATATAGCAAAGCTCTCTCTAACGCCGCGGCCAAAAGAGACCGCGGACCTTGAATTTCGGCGGCGCCGAAATTCACACAAGACTGTGAACACACCCACAGGACGCCGAGTACAAGACAATACGAAGGGAGTGTACTCAGGCAGTCAGGGACGGGTGAGTTCAAGAACATAAAGCCGTACTAAGAGCACCTAAAGTGGAGCAAGGCATAGCTGTGAAGTGGTTTCCACTGACAACATGCACATGCGGGTGATGCTCCGATAAACCCGCCGGATCTTCGACAAAACAGGAAATTTCTTTTTTGGAAGGGTAGGTGTGAATACAGCTTTCTGGTAGGGTTACATCGACGAACTATGCGGCAATCGACTGGGGGGCAGCCCCCCAGCACATCCCGCACAGAGACCTCGATGTAACCCGATTGTGAGCGTGAAACCGCCGATGCGATTGCTCATTGCTCAGTCAGTGACCGACAGTCAGTCAGCAGCAGACTTTGACGATTGGTGGCCTCGCGCCCTCAGTCGCCCTCCTCTACTGACGGCCCTGCCCCAGCCCAGATGCCTCATCCAGGGTGGTGCAACCACTCGCGCAGGGAGAGAGAGAAAGTCGGCGATCTGCGCCGCGTAGATGAGCTCCGCCTCGTCTGCGTCGAGGACGTCCACCGCAGGGCTCTCATAGCGCCATATGACGTACTGCCTATTGTTCATTACTTCGCAGGTGCCAAAGTCGAGGACAATCTCACTGTGGCGGCTGCACTCCCGTCGGCGGTAGGAGAGATGAAGGCTAATGTACTTGGCAGTGTAGGGTGCCTTCCGGCGTGAACAGTGCCCCGGGACGAAAGAGGAGGCGACGTCTCTCTCGTCCGAGCGCCTCGATGTGCGCATCGACGGTGCAACCAGCTTTGAGAGACGGGAACGAACGGCGGTGAATCGCCGACAGCGGCGCCTTTGTTCCTACCACCACTGCCACCACCGCCAGCTCCGCCGTGGACCTTGCCGGGCCCTCTGATGATTGTAGTACCGTGGAGCAGCTCGTCCTTGCCGTTGTTGTACTCTGCTGTGGCGCCAGCTCGGTGTACAATACGGACGAAGGCGACCACAGCAACGGTGTCACCAGCGCGAGCATACAGGCAGCGCGAAGCCGCGTGCCTCGTTGCGCGCGCGCCCGCCCGCCGAAATCCTCGATAACCCTGGAATAAATTTTC